AATCATAATGACAAGCACTACCTATATTTTATGATCTAACTATTTATTTGTTAAATTCAAATATTTTAGAAATAAATTGTTCTTTCCTTATATTATTACCTACCTACTAATAAATTACTATAACATAAAAAATAAAATTAATTAATTCTTAAAAACAATTTTTAAATTATGAAAAATTAAACAAAATACTTATTATTTTAAATTGAAGCTCATAAACATTGTAAAGAAAGATGACACGTGGCTACACTCACTTGTTAGCCTATAACATAGCAAAATTACGTTTAGCAGTTCATAATTAATTTCGTTATTCTTAATATTGCTCAGTCCATCAAAATATATATAATCTTTATAACTAGCTTTAAAAAATTGAAAAAGATAGAGAACACATGTAATACCTACCTTTTAATTTGACAACAGATCTATTCACTCTTACATTAAAACTAACCAAAATAAACGTGAACTGCTTAAAGTACAATATTTCTATGATATGCGCAGTGCTTATGAGACGGATACGTCAATTCTACGATATCTAACAACCGATGCCCACTGGATGCGTTGCTAACTAGGTACAAGACAGGATTAAGGTGGGGTGGTTAGCCCCGGGGCCCTTTCAAGTACCAAAATTAAAGGGGCCCACACAATTTCAAGCTGATAAACATTTTTTGGTGATTTTAAAGAAAGTGTTTTTATATTTTAAAAACCATTTTTTTATCGACAAAAACAACTAAATAGTAAATACCTACAAAAGCACTATGTGGTAGAAAAGACGCATTTTACTGTTATTTAATATTTCCATTGATATCAATAATATCATCAATAGTTAATAATATTATTTATGTACGGAGAGAGCTTTTTCTTAATTAACTAAAGTAAAAAATAAGTATATAACCAGTCAAACCCAAGAAAACTTAGACATACAAATTATTTTATACTATGAAAATGATTTGTTAAAATCATTAGACATAAATGAAATAGCTAAAAGAGTTGGCTTCAAGTAAAGCAAGAAAAAAAATTTATTTGATAAAATGGTTTTGTTTTTGTTTGGTTTTGGTTTTTGTTTGTTTGTTGTAAATAAGTATACCTACCTACTGTTAATACATTTAAAAGTTATTATGAAAATTAATGAAATATGATCATGATGTATTAACTTTTATTATACTACAATAAAATGAGTAGCTTTATAGACATAAATTACATTTACCTATCAATTTTAGAATTTTAGAATTTTAGAATGCCCAATACGTTCTTAATCCGGCCTTGAATAGGTATATAAATTAATTTAAACATTTTTAGTATATCTAAATAATTGATAAGTTATAGTGTGTATTTTTAATACATAATATTATAAGTTTTTATTCCCAAAATATATTTCTTAAAGACTGAAAGTGTGCTATTCTTGGCTACAATGTTATGTTTGTATAATATAATGTGCATTTTATCATTTTAAACTGTGTGTGTTTATTGTAATTATAATGAAATAAAATTGAAATGGGTATAAGGAATATATTATATACATACATGTTGACGCTTTCGCTTTTTTAAATTAAATTTTTTATACGATTTCTTTCATTTTGGTTAAGGCGAATCACAACTATATTTAATAAACATAGTTAAATCGTGTCCAATCACTGGTGATCTAAAAAGCGATTGAAAATTTGCATGTATAGAGTATACATTGTTTTAGTATAACATCGAAGGTAACCAGCTGTGAACGCATACTCAAATATAGGTTTGTATAAGTACATAAATTAGCTCTATTGTTTTGCGAGATTCCTACCTATAGCAAAAGCGTATAATATTATGCTTTACAAGCAAACGTCATGCTCTGCAGTTATACTCAGCTCGATTATTTGGACGTGAGGAAACTTACTTTGTGAAAGTAAGAGTTCTACATCATACTACATAATAATTGGAGTTTGAAAAATAAACGAATAATGTCGTTCTGTTGTACGGTAATACATATAATATATTAAAATTAATTATAATAATAATTATTATAATTATAATTTTTATTTTTCTATATATCTATATATTTCATATTTAAAATGTAATTGGAATTATTTTTCCGTGATAAACAAACAATAATACAATAATACAATACAATATATACCTATTTAAAAAAATATGTTTTATACTATACGAGATTGTATGTACCTACCTATTTTATATCGTTGACGCAGTCATCTACTCATCTCTGAGACTTTTCCTAGTATTAGTTCTGTAGATACATTCAATTATGTTACATAATATATTATATTTATGTATATGATTTTATTGTAATTCAAAAAATATTAATCGTAGAGAATTAAACTTTTCACCATTAAGTATATTATTTTTTTTTTTTATAAATTATTTACCTACATTATTTAAGCTATTTATACCAAGAATATCTATTCATATTATTATATACGATACACATTGGTATTGGCTATAAGTTTATAGCAGTATAATAATTAACAGATATGATTTAATATAGCTCACGACTTCAATCACTACGCCCAATATAATGTTCTAATATTAATTTTGAAAGCAGATTTGAATTCGTCACTAAATTATCTATGCTTTGAAATTTCATTTTTTTTTTACTTAGACATTTACTAGGTAACAAAAAGAGTAAAAATAAATCATATTCATAATTCAAATTCAAATACATTGATATAGAATATAAAAAATGTACGACAGTCAAAGCATAGTAAATTTAAAGGAGAATTCAAATCTGCTTTTAAATTGAAATCGGAACATTCTACTGAGCTTAGTGATTGAAGTCACTGGCAGTATATTTGGAAAAAAATGTTCCTAATTTTATAAATTAATATTTGGTGACATATGTGCATGCGCGTAGGTAAAATTATGCCCAAAAGTGACAGCACAACGTGATCGGTACTACGAATTACACACACTAATGTTGATTTACTTTCAACACATTCACAAGACCTATACGAACTGAAAAATAAAATGCCTAGTTTTTACTCCTTAGAATGGATTAAGCTTCAGCCCCCTTAAAATAATATTGCTATAACTATTATAAAATATAATATGTGATTTGATATTTTGACAAAAATGACTACATCCTACCGTATACCTACTGTTATAATTATAATTTATCACAAAATATCCTTAGAAATAGATGCTGACAGACATAATATAGTGACACGAGACTTTGACAGTCTCCACTTAGAATTTTTTTTCGTGTACAGTGATTTATCATTGAATTAAAATTGAACACATCTAGTAGGTAGATATATACACTGACTTATAGTCAATGGCGAAGTAGGTAGTAGGTACACTAAAATACGAGTTCGCAGTTAAAGATCGAGTTCACTAATCACTATGGTTTATTCTTTCTATTAATTTGCAAGCTTGCTGTTGTAGTCTGTGGGTTTGCCAGCACAATAATATAGAAATGGTATACAATAATACACATATAATAATATTTTAATTATGATCTATACAAATTGTCCACTCAATATTGTTGAATACATAGGTAGTCTTTTTCGACAGTCTGAGTAGGTAGCTGACAAAGGCGAGTTTGTTTTCACGAGTGTATATATTGTGTATTCTTAAGTCTGTGTGTTTTACCTTTCAAATGTTTTTTCTCGGGTACATTGTTATTTCTTTTGAAATTTCTTTAAGATAGATAATATTATATTTACATCAATCGGTCAAATGTGTCGGAAATAATGTCCTTGTGATGTATTCCCTCCAATTATTGTTTATGGAAACTACCTAGCTCTATGCATTTTCAAACAGAATTATATTATATTAATTTTACCAACGGATAACGATTAGTGTTTAAAACATGTCGGTTATTCATTTTAACATTAACTATAAAATAATTATTCAAGTTAATTTTTTCAAATATTGACTAATGATTTTATGAGTTCACATAGTTATTCTGTATTCAATTATAACAGATATATTATGTAAAATACTATGTGTTGGAATTCAAGGTGTCACAAAATAACCAGACAAAAAATAACTTTTGTTTTAGTCCAGACTTTATTATTATATTTTATTCCAGAGTTGAATTAATAGACGCTTCAACGCTTGAGTTACAAGTATTTTTAATTTAAATTGTTTTGTGCGGAAAATAAAAAGTTTTAAACTTTACCCAATTATTTATCTAAAAATTTAAAATTACTAATATCTAAATCTAATTTTAAGAAAATGGTAAAGATGTCTATTTAAGTCAAGTAGTTTATTTTTTAAAATTTCCTAAAATCTCAATATTTTTTTGGAGTTAATTAATTTGAAACGTAATACATTTTCAGGCATAAGTAAATTACCTGATTATTATCCATATAATTTTCCTGATTTTTTTACATTTAACTAGTATCTATCAATTTTTCATTTGTCAGGTATATCTGTTAAGCCGCATGTATAGTGGTATACTGTTTCACATATAATTTAATAAACTGTAGGTGTCTATCACTTCAAAACTCAGTATTCACAAAATATGAATTGCAATATAGGTTACAGTAAATAAAATATATGCTCGTATGAAAATGATTGAAGACGTTACGCATACCTAGGTGTAGGTATATTATAAATTGCATATCACATTCATATAGCGAGTATATAATACAAAATATGTAGTAATACGGAAACATACTGTTTGTTAATAATTATCAATTATAGACAAATAGTTAATGAATATGATAAATTCACTCTATTATTGTTTTACATCATGCATAGATATCTATGGAAGTAAAAATTCATCATGGTTAGAGTATGGAATTTGACATTATTATCGTTATGTTGTTTTTGCATTTAATACCTTATCATACACATTTGCACGTCTTACCGCTATGACGAAATTATTAATATTTACCTGCCTACATTTACCATTATAGTCGGTCCAAACGATCAGTTAGCATAGAAGGTAAATAGCAAAAAT